ATTATTTGTTTCAGATTGATTGTGTGAATCCGATAAATCCATCGGCTCTCAATTTATTTCTGAAATATTAATTCAATTTAATTGAATGTATATTAGATAGTAGTTCAACATCTTAACACTCGACCGAAAAGGCGCTTTGTATTTAAAGTCTTAATATAATTAATTTGAATAATTGTGTCAAATAAATAAAGATTTTTATAGAATTACATAGATTAATAATATTTTTTTAAAATCGACTAGTAATGTAAAATTTTCAGCTCCTAGTATGTATATGTAACAAAATACGTATTCTATTCGTACATTTCGGTATGATAGTTATATGAAATGATGCAAATAATAACAATCAAAGAGAGGATCCTTTTAAATCATCCAAAAAAGTTATGAAAACATTTTTAGCAAAACTGAAAATAAATGAATTCACTTTATATTTTATAATACGAGAATTATAAAGAACAAATCTTTGGTGCCTTTTATACCAGTATTTCCTTAAGCATTTGTATCATTAAATTTGAATCAAATATTAAATAATTATCTGAACTATTAGATTCGAGAATCCTTACAACGTTTATGCCGTCATTGGAAGCAATTACCTTAATGCAACTGATGCAATAGTATATCAAGCAAAAAACTTGATAGTACACGCTGGTTTCAATAATTTGCTACGTGTTCATGATATTGGTTTAATCCAAGTATCAAGCAATATCATATTTAACAAAAACGTCCAACCGATTGCTTTGTCAACTACCGATCGCAATTTTGATGATTATCCTCTCTTAGTCACTGGCTGGGGAGATCTTTGGGTAAATTTGAAAACATTATAAATTTTTTACTATTTTTCTTTTTCCAAATCGTTTCTTTAGTTGATGTAAAATGTTCAAAAAATAAATTTTTTTGAATAACGTTTTATAAAAAACATTAATATAACATTGTTAATTTATAACTAGTTCAGAATTAAGTGTATTTTAGACATATTTATTAAATATAAGCATTAAAGAGTCATAACTTACTTTAGAAATATTGGATCTTATATTCAGTCTTAAATAAAGAACAATTTATTTTAAAATATATGTATAAAAGAGAAGTTAAAAAGGTAATAATAAATATATGATAAGTTCTTTTCTAATAGGAAAAGAAATAATAAATAAATATAAAGTTATCTAAAATAATACTTACAAATGTAATTTGTATATATTTTGTAAACATTCTTTCTGTAAGGAACAAATGCATACTTGCATATTTATAGAATAAAAAAATTAATGAAGTTAACATATAAAACAATTTAAATAGTTTACATATAAAATATGAAAATAATAATCTATAGAAAAATTATGATATAAGGATATAAATTTAATAAAATAAAGTGTTAAATAAATTTACAACTTCTTTTAGTCAAGCGGTTTAGCTTTTAATCGCTTGCAAGAAATTATAGTAAGAGGATATTCCCATGAGTTATGCAACAGATGGGCATACGTCAAGGAGACTCATATATGTACTTTTACAACGGAGAATGAAGGATTTTGCCACGTAAGTAATTGTGAAATAAACAGATATCTGTTATAATATGACAAAAAAAAAACAAGTTTATCAAAAGAATAGCACAATTAATTGCTATCATTTTATCTATAAATTTATATCTAAAAGTGAAAATAGAAATGTTTACCGTTTGGATATCTGTCCTTAGAATTCAATAACTTTTATCAAATGTTATTATACGCTTTTCTTACAAAGTCAGAAAGTTTTAATATCATACGTTTTTGTCGATAAAAATTTAAAATATAATTTATAAAATTATTGCATTCCAAACAAATTATACATAAATAAAATTTTCTATTAAGCAATATTAAATAAATTGTTACGATAGGGAGACGCTGGTAGTCCACTCGTTGCTGATGGGGTTTTAGTTGGTCTTATGTCGTACAGTTATGGTCCGTGTGGTACAGGTACTCCTGACGTGTCTACCAGAATATCTTCCTATCGATCGTGGATTAAATACTACACAGGGATCTGATACTGTAATAGATCTACAATACATCAAATCGTCATTGCGAAATTTTTTACAATTACGACATTTATTATTTTAAAACACCAAGAATCAATGATTAGCAATTTCTGTTTAATAAATTATTATGTAAAGATATAACTATATAAAATATTTATTTACAAACAGATTTTATGCATTAAATTTAGATGAAAATTCAAGGAATTTTTTAATACATAAAATAATTTTTTCAACAATTTATATAAAATTGGATTTATCTCATAAAAATAAATCAAATTAAAACTATAATTATTTAATATTTAAAATTATATATGTAATTATGATTTATTTTAATTCATACAAAAAGCAGAAAATTATTTTTATATTTATTCAAATATAATACAATTTTAGTTTATAATCGTAACTTGCTATTATATGATTAATTATAATCTTTGCTATTATATGATTAATAAAACTCATTCTAAATTGTTCTGTCGTTATCTCTTTTCGAACACATAGCACCCTTCTCATAATATACATCCTTCTCATAATATACATCCTTGACGATAATATATATTCTATGAACATATATACATTTCTTTATTTCCAGTATAAATATAACGGCCTCTTTTATCTTCTCTGTTAGGTGGTATAGTCTAGTGATTACTTTTAGAATTATTTACTCATACATCAAATATGATAGAGAATACCATTATGGTCGAAGTTAGATGTTTCGAATAATACAATATATATTTTTTATTAAATCAATTTATTTCAGATATGATTGAGCGCCAATAACTTTAGGACATTTTTAACACAATCAGTCTGAAAAAAACACTAATAATCCCTAAGAAAAATTGTAAAGAATTTATTATTTATTTAATACTTTGCCGTTATATTATAAAACTAATATGTCTCATTTTATTGTCAATTCTCACAGACTATAAAAAAAATTTTCTTTTCTATCTGAAAAAGAGCTCAAAATTCATAAAGTAAAAGTGAAAATGTTTCAAAACTTTTATCCAAAAAGAATTATCTGATTTTATATCTTAAAAGCAAAAAAATGCAGGTTAATGTAAAATATTGTTTTACATGGATATTGTTCAACATATTCTCTTTCTTTTTAATGATTATTTTTTATAAATCTTTAATTATGTCTTTATTACATATTAATTATTTATTTATTATGTCTTTATTACGTATTAATTACTTATTTATTAAGTAGAAAAAAAATTATGATTAAACTGTCTATATTTTCAAATATTAATAAATCGGAAAAATAATCGTTAATATACAAAATGTTAATAATGATTTTTATTCGGAAAAACATTTCAGATGATCGTTCATATAAAAAAAAATTCAAGTAACTACTCCCGGAAAGAGAAAGTTCTTGAGTCAGAAATAGAACAGCAGAAAAATACATAATTTCATAACTTAGGAATTAAAAAAGAAATATTTTTTTAATTTTCTGTGTATGTATAATTTTATTAAAATTTTTTGTAAATAAACAGAAAATATTTCCAGAAATTTTGAATACTTTTTGAAAAAACGCAGGTTGCAAAATAGATTGCATATCTATTTTTATACGTATATATTAAACTAATTATATTAATATTAAAAAAGACGCAATATAAAACAATACATATAAAGATTTAAAGTTCAACACAATAGATACCTCATTATTTATCAAAGTTGAATTATTTATTATATGATCAAACGAATTGCTCGGCTTTGACTCATTCCTTAAGGAGGGTTTCACCTTTGCCAGCCGTAAAATTAGCTCAGTTTTATAAATTTTTTAAAGAAAATTTATTATATATGTATAAAATAATACAAGGTTTTGCATAAAATTATATTATGTTCGAACAGTAAAAAAAATATGTTTTAATTAGATGAATATGCATTTTAATGTCTCCAAATGGCGATCGAATTATTCTGCAATATCAGGGCCATATAATAATCCTTCCTCTTCTTTATATAATTTGTTTCCATCAATCTCTCCAATCGTCGAGCTGTTCTGGCTTCTCTTAATGATTCTGACGATTTGCTTTGCTCACGCGGACCCCATGCGGCCTTACGTATTTAAGCTCATAGCTCCGTTAATATTGCGAATTTAAAAAAATTCTTTCACAGGGATATTTTACACACATGTAAAAATCAAAATAAAGAAAAAAAAATTTTCGCCTGTAAAGGTGAAACCTCCCTTAAAGAGAAATAATTTATTAAGTCTCTGAAAATTGTTTTATAATTAGACAATTTTAAAGAAGCAAGCAAATAAATAAATTTCTACGAAAGTTTATTTTGTTTGTAAAGAGAAATAAATAATTAAAACAAATTAAAAATAATCTATATTTATAAAAGTAGAATTGTAAATGTTTGAGATTAATTAACTTTAAACAATTTTAATTTGGTGACATTTACTTACATTTGGAGTGTACATTTTGCTTTTTTTATAAACGCTTTTGCAGCTATTTCATACATTTTTTAAATATTTTTCGTATTTTACAATATACAATATTAAACTATAATTATGTCTACTACAATTAGATAAGAAATAGCTTCTCATAATATTGTACACCTTTAAATTTAATTTTGCACACACTGAAAAAAATAATTTTGCAATTATGTAGCGAAAAATTACATAGACACGAAAAATTAGTTAAATAAATAAATGACTAGTAAGCACTGCGATATTGAACATGTTTTGTGTCTAATCAATATACATAAATAACAGAGATAGCATTTATATTTGTCAAATTTATCAAGAAAGTTTGAGCCTGTAAAATTCAATCGGATAACTGTGATTGTTATGATTCATATTTAGCAGTGATTCATATTTAGTTATGATCCATTTTTCTTGCAAATATTCTTAGAATATTATATTATGATTTCCGCGCGTATGATACATAATTTTCTATTAAATACAAAAAATAACGATAATTCTAGCTGAAACAGCAAAATATTTTTTTGCATGCACAAAATATATTTTACTAGATATTATTCTAATATATAGTGAGGTCCAAAAGTTCTGGAACGACTAATTATCAGAAAGAATTGGTTTATTAAAAAAATGTTTCAGACAAAGTTGTAGGATTTAAAAAGATCTATTTACTGAGCTTATTAGTTTGACCTTGGATAGAGTCGTCAATCGATTTTTTTTTTAATGGAATGCCCTATTTTTTATTCCAGGATCTAAGCTGGTGTTGGGAGTTTTTCAAAAAAAGCGTATTACAATAAAGTTTATTTTCATTAAGTACTTTTTGAATTTATAAAACTCGAAAGTTACAGTACCGCTATCATTAATTTATTAGAAAATATTATCCAAGATGTCTGACTAATGATTAAAACCTCTTGAGTGTTGTTCAGAAGTGTTATCCATGTTCTGGATAACATTTGTTAAAATCAAAGCAATTGGAAGTTGTTATCCTTATTTTTATTTTTGCATAGAAAATTTATTTTTACGTAAAGAATTTATGAATTTACAGAAATTTTGAACACTTTTTCTATTAAGGTCAAATGGTTAATTTTAAATTAATGGAGATGATTTAACATTAAATTATTTTCTAAATGCAATGCGTCTAAAAAAGAGATATTAAAGATGTCAAAAAACGGCTACATATTATTTTGTAATGTTTTTACGTAAAATAATTTGAAAAATAATATATTCAAAAATTTAATAAGTTTATGCAATAGTATCTAGTTAATACGTCTGGAATCAACATATTTATATTATGTATTAATGTATAAAATATAATAATATAAAATATGTATTGTATATACAACATAAAGCAATTAATTCTTTCACAATTTTCAAATTATTTATGTAATCATAAAATAAATAGTGCTGATTCAAGAGAAACTACTTTAATAAAAAGTATTCATATCATCCTTGCCAACACCATTCTGCAAAGATATACACCTCTTTCATGATACACGAAGATAACGGATGAGTCGATACGTGCAAATTGATAATATTCATCGATGGTTATATAAACCGAAGATAACGCATTTCGTCAACCTCAGTAACTATCACTATGTTTTCTATCACGGATCTCATAATCACGTGTCTAATGTATCACACCGCTTATGGTACGTACATATATTTGTGAAAATTTTATCGAAAAATTTTGAAAAGATGTAAATTTTAACATATTATGAGCCTTAATACATCACAAATAATTCGAACATGTATTATAATAATATTAATAAGATTAATATCAGATGTTATATAACTTAATTCTGTCACGTAATTGTCTCATATAATCCAAATAAGTATTCATAATTACATTTTATATAAGCGAAAATATCATAACAAATTATTTAAAAATTAGTTTAGCGGATTATACATTTATTAAACGTAGTAATTTATTTGGCATTTATCATAATATTTTTAAAACGACTTATGTAGCGCAATCTTGTTACTTTTAAAATTTTATTAAAACATATTACTTACATACACCTGTAATTTATTTGTCATATTTTAAAACGAAACTTACATATATTATATAAAAAATAAATGTTAAAATAAAGAAAAAAGTTAATATAAGAAAACAAAATTTCTTTTAATAGAGTTCAAAATTTTTAATAAGATGTTATAAAGACAAAACTTTTTCAATCGACAGGTGTGGATACGCAAGTCGTAGGCGGCACAAATGCTTCAGCGGGGCAATATCCTTATCAAGTGTCATTGAGGCAAAATGGAAACCATTTTTGCGGTGGTGCCATTATCCACGAGAAATTTGTTATCACTGCGGCGCACTGCTTATCGGGGTATAGATGTTTTCCTTTCAATTTTAAAAAGCATTCAATTGTCTATTACTGTCTAATTCTTAATTGAATAATTATTATATTTTCTACATTTGTAATTTTATTAGTAAAGGAGCAAAAGCTATTTTTATTATTTAAAAGAGCAAATATAACGGACATTATGAAGAAACGAGAAAGAAAAATAGTAAAATTGAGTCGAAGTTTGCCTGTAAAGGAAACGTTTAAAATCGGTCTATTTTTATATTACTAAACCTACTGAACTCGAACATAAAACTTAAAAATTATTTAAAATCCAGGGTTTTCTGAAAACGCAGTTTTTCTACACAAACTTTCGTTTTGTAATAAATACCTACATTCTAATAATCAAATAGTAACTGTGACTAAAAAAAGTGTTCTTTTATTGATGAAGTTTTTAAGAGAAAGAGAAAAAGAGAAAAAGGAGAGAGAGAGAGAGAGAGAGAGAGAGATAGAGAGAGAGAAAGAGGAAGAGAGAAGTTTGAATTGGAATCAAATCGAATCAATGGATTTGATTCGATTCGTTTTCGAATCTGAAATGACAGTCCAGATGTTTGTAAACGAGAAAATAAGTTCATTTTCAACGTATTACTAAAACGTATTGTTTTTACATACATTTATGTCACATTATTAACTTTTCGATATACTTATACATTCAAAATGAGATTTTTCAACTTTTTAAGGTCTCTTTTTTAATTGATATCAATGTGTGAAAATTTTCAAATTCAATTCTTTTTCAAATAAAAATAAAAGGATTTGATTCAATTCAATTCGGCATAAAGATTTCAGATTCGGTTTGATTCAGATCTTATCAATGCTTGATTCGCATCTCTAAAAAGAGTGCTTTACAATTGCTTATTTTTATCAAAATTCAATAGTGTTTTACTTTTAAGCTTTGCAGACTTAAACTTATATTTTTTTCTTCTTTTGCATTTCTTACTTTTTTCTTGTTTGCTATAGCATCTTGCATGCACATTTTCTCTTAATCAAAGATATATAAATAGAAAGATAATATGAGGAAAGCATATAAAGATATGTAAGAATCAACAAATGTAAGAGAAAAAAAAATGCATTTAAAAGCGAACAAAGAAAAAAGTATGAAGTATGTGCGCGTGCGCACACACACACACATATTAATAAAAAGACATTTTTTTACTCACATTGTAGTTACTATTTGATTATTAGATCGCTTCTGTATCAAAAATAACTAGTTCTGATAAATTATCTAGAAGATAGAGAACTTTTATTTCTTGATATCAAGAAAACAATGAAACTGAAGAAAACAACAACGAGATGACATTTCTATAAATTATAGGAAGATAAAGATGATTACAAGTTAAGCATATATACAATTTATTTTATGATTATAGATACACTTACATTGTACATCATTATAGAATATATGTGTTGCAAAACAAAGCTTTTGTGTATAAAAAAATTGTATTTTCATAAAGTTTCTCAAATTTTGGATAATTTTAATTTCACATTTGAATACAGCAAACGTATAATAATATAAAGATAGACTGATTTCAAATGTTTACAGGCAAATTTTAGCTTTATTTTATTATCTTTCTTTAAAGAAGCATGTAATTTTCGATATCTAGAAATAAGCGATTTATATTGTTTATACGTAATTAAGATATCTCAGATATATTCAGATATACATTTTCAAATAAATTCATATTTTAAAAAATTATTCTTTTAATTTAGCTTTTGAATTAAATACATGCAAAGTGTTAAAAACATGCAAATTTTTACTGATTATTACAGAAAGTCGCCAGACAATATTTCCATCGACGTTGGAAGCATTTATCTTAATAATTCTGAAGCTAGATATTTGGCGCACAAACTAGAAATACACCCTAATTACAACGAAACGCTACACATAAACGATATTGCTTTAATTAATCTAGCAAGCAAAATTAGCTTTACTAATAACACTAAATTAATAAATTTAATATCTTACGATTGTAATTTCGAAGGTCTTGAGTTAAATGTTACTGGCTGGGGAAGGCTTCAGGTAAATATAAGAAATATATCTTATATTTCCTTTAAAATCATTTAAAATTATATTAAATATAAGGATCTTATACTTAAACTAGTGTAAACTTGTTGTACTTCAATTGTAATAGATATATTTGAAGTTTGATAAAAGCAAGATAGAAAATAGAATTAGTACAGTTTAATTCAGCGACAAAGAAAACAGGCCTACGAATCTACTTCTATTTAAAAACTAGGATATATATTTAATTAAAAATACTTATTTTTAGCCAGACGGTTTAATTTCGCAACAGCTTCAACAACTTGAAGTGTATGGATTTTCTCAAAAGGAGTGCACCGAAACGTACAGTAACTTCAGCGATAATCATATATGCACCCTTAATGCGTATAATCAAGGACTGTGCAATGTAAGTATTTGTATAATCATAAAATAAATTGTATATATGCTTAATTGTAATCCTTTATCTTCCTATAATTTATAAAAATGTCATCTCGTTGTTGTTTTTTTCAAATCAAGTTGATATCAAGAAATAAAAGTTCTCTATCTTCTAAATAATTTATCAGAACTAGTTATTTCTAATACAGAAGCGACCAATTGCTTTACAAAAACAGCTAAATGTGGCAATTATTTACGTCATACACTAATATTTAAACTTTAAGCAACAATATATACATAAAAACTGGCTAATATTATATTAAATACACTGTCTTTGTAGGGAGATTCCGGTAGTGCGCTTACTTACGAAGGCGACCTCGTTGGCATCGTGTCCTATGGTAGACAGCCATGCGCCAGTGGATATCCAGATGTGTTTACCAGAGTGTACTATTACGAAGAATGGATTCATAAAACTATTAATGCAGGCAGCAATCAACAACTGAATATCATTCTTGGATCTTTTATGACATATTTATGTATTTTATTTATGTAAATATGCATAAATGCACATATATTTTTATTTACGTAAATAGATACATATATTTTATTACATGTGCCTGTGATTAATCATCAATTTTAATGATTAATAAATATTGCATAAAGATAAAAATCAGTTCTTAAGAAAAAATTGTATTTTTACTTATGATATAAATTGTAATTTATAAAATTAGTCTTTTTTTATATGTAATATATGTGCGTGCGTGTGTAAAACATTTTCTGTCATTGTCATCAAGATTATGTTTGCCGAATGATCTGTTTAAATGTGCAACAAGCTCGATTGAGCGGTTGAAATATGACGGATTAGTGATAAACCAGCAAACAGACATGTCAAACACATAAAGGTTTGCAAAAATATCAGCATTCGTCATGCAAGAATACAACTTACAATTAGTAGTATCTGTAAAAAACACCCATTTTTTTGCTTCTATCAGAGCTGATCTATGCTTAACTTAATTTGTCGCATTGCTGTCAGATCTGCTTTGGCATTGGTTGTCTTTAATTTGACTTCAGAATATATTTTTCAGATTTAGGACCTTACGAAATTACAGTAAGTCCTAGTTTTACAATCAAATGGTTAGCTGGGATATATACAGAGCTAAGCATTTAAAATACTTTTATTTAAAACAAGTATTGCAGCAATTTTTTTTCACTAAATTACAAGTGTCTTTGAGTACTCATAGACAACCAAAATTTTAACACTCGGTGTTCCTTAAAAAATAAAACTTTCAATTTCAAGTTTTTGTCAGATTTGTACGATATCAAATTCATACAAGAAAAAGACAATAGATGCAAATAAGAGAACATACACATGACACATATTGTGCGTATTTTATAATGTAACAAAAACTTAGCAAAAATTTGTAAAAACCGCCCAAAAAAAATTATTAAAAATGCCAAGTATATTTTATAATACTTTAAAAAGCCAAGTATATTTTATAATACTTTGCAAAATCATTTTGTAAATAACATATTCAAAAAACGCAATGGAAAAAATTATAAATTATAAATAATATCTTGAAAAAGAATAATATTATCAATAATATTATAACCACTATTATTTAAACTACGTAATTTATTTATAAAAAAATCGTAAGATTTTCATTTTCGCATTTATAAAATTCGTTTTTAGCTGATTTTCTATAGAAACAAGCCACAAATAGTACCGAGTATATAAATCATGATCGAGTTTTTACTCTTTCAATTATCAGAATTATCTAAATAGATCATGTCCTTATCAATATTAATAAAATGCAACAGTTATAGTTTTCGAGAAATAAGTAGGTGGTCTCTATATGAGACCATTGAATGTCAGTATCGGCGTATATTTCCTCTACTTCCAGATACGAATAAATATACTTAAAATAATATTTTGGTTTCACTTTTTTCCATTGCTATTTTATTTAATTTTTTTCACTACGATTTTTGAGGATACCATATAAAATAATTACATATTAAAAATATATTTAGCGCTATTTTTCCCATTATTAATATCTTTTTCAGATAAATCGTGGGTTAGGTAAATGCGGTTATAGATAAATATTTCAGAATGTAATATTAAATAACATCTATGATAAATTAAAATTAGTCATTTATCCTTAATAAAAATTATGTTATATTTTAAAACCAATATAATCATAAAATAAATAATGCTGATTCAACAGAAACTATAGAAAAAGTTACTCATATCATCCTCGATAACATATTCTGCGAACGTATACGCTTTCTTATTTACACAAAAATAATATAGGGATCGGGGCACAAACTGATAATGTTAATCGACAGCTATATAAATCGAAAATAACGCCTTTTGCTCACCTCAGTAACTATCACTATAAGTTTGTTCTCGTTTCTGGTACTTTTTATAATCAGCACATTCGTTTCCTCTTTCTCGCCCGAATATATATTTATTTTATTTTAAGTGCAAAAATTTTTGAAGATTTCCAGCAATACGAAGGCCTCATGTTTTCTATCACCAGTGTTATAATCTCGTATCTAATATGTCACACCTATGGTAAGTCAAGAGTGTAAAGACAATGAGAGCCGACGCAGTTGTACGTGTGTAAAAATAATATATATGTCAATCACCAATTACAGACACGGTTTTGACCATAGGATTAGATTATCTTCAGTGTAATAATAAGTTATCGGAATCAAAATTGATGCGTTGTAAAACAATAAGGCAAATACTGTCAGTGAATCATTGTTAGACTGCTGTCCAAAATTAAAAACTTCATTATCGTCTGTTGTACTTAGCTGGATACCCAAACAAGAATTCAGTCATTTAACCAAAATCGATTTAATATATGAAATTTATGAACTTTTAATTATAGTCAAAGTATTAAAATTGATTGTATCAGTTGAATAAAGCTTACATTGTACTCAGCATAACGATGATTCATTATAACGCGATGTAATTATAACTAAGTCTTGAGAGCGTGTGAGAAAACGTTTCACATTACACAGTGTTTATAAGTATAAAAGTTAAACAAAAATACCAACGCAAAATCGACGATACAAATTTATAATTCACTGATAGCATTTGCCTTATTGTTTTACGCATCAATTTTGATTCCGATAACTTATTGTTACACTAAAGATGACCTAATCTATGATCGAATTCTATGATCGAAACGTTGTAATTAGTGATTGATATATATAGGGTGTTTTATTTTAAGTGATATGGTCAATAATTGATATCATTTAAAATGAAACATCCTGTATATTATTTTTGATTACACACGTACAACTGTGTCGGCTCTCATTGGTTTTATACTCCTTTATTGATTTAACATATGTTAATCTTTAAAGCTTTTTTTAATGTTAATTTTATTTACCTATGTATATTTGTGAAAATTTTATTGAAAAATTATATAAGATGTAAATTTT